GGGGTAGGATAGATCCGGGCGACAGGTGACGGCTGCGAAGAGGAGGCAGCCCAGTTTCCTCTGGTAGTCTCGTATTCCGGCAGCTTTGAGTGGAGCAGAATTTCCTTTGTCGCTTCCTGCCGTGTGGCGGTATGGCGTGGCGATAGCGGTAGGTGTGAGCGAGAAGCGCTTGGCGATGGTGTCGGCGTATTTCTCGGCGCTGAGGTAGATAGCATTTTCCTCTTCGCGGATGTTGAGCCCGAGGTACTGGGTGACGGTGGAGGAGACGGTGAGCGTGAGGTCCTTCTGCAGCTCCCCTTCGAACCAGGTAGTGACGTCGTCGGTGGAGCCGATGTAGAGCAAGTCGTCGACATAGACGATCAGTAGGATGTAGTCTGCGCCTTTGGTGAGACGATACATTCCTTGGTCGTGAGGCAGTTGGCGGAATCCGATGCGAGTGAGGCGGGTGTGTAGGTGCTGTTGCCACAGTCGCGGAGCTTGTTTGATTCCGTAGAGCGATTTCAGTAGTTTGCAGACCTGATTGGGGTTTCCGTGGGTACCGTGGGGGAGTTCGACGAAGATTTCGGCGTCGACGGGTGCGTAGAGGAATGCGTTGGCGACGTCAATTTGTCGCAGCTTCTTCTTCTTCATGGCGGCGACGGCGAGAAGAATTCGGAGAGAGGTATGTCGACTAACTGGGGCGAAAGTCTCGGTGAAGTCTCGTCCTTGCTCCTGGTCGAATCCACGCACGACCCAGCGTGCTTTGAACTTCTTGATTGTGCCGTCGGCTTTTGTTTTGATGCGGAAGACCCATTTCCCGGTGAGAATGGTCTTGTTCCATGCCACGCTTGCGGGAACGACCTTCCAGGTGTTGCGTTCCTCTAATGCCTTCAATTCTCTGTCCATGGCTTCACACCATTTCTCCCTATGTTCCCCCCCCAGAGCCTGCTGAACTGTCGCAGGCTCTTTAGGAAGTGCGTTGCCGTGGACTGCGGTGACGAGACCAAGGATTTGCAGTCCAGTCTGTGAGTATTGGGGGAGTGTTGGGTCCTCGGGATAAGCTGCTTCGTCTCCCGCTTCTGGATCGGGTATGAAATTTGGCCCTATCCTTTCTGCTTCGTTTGTATTGACTGTCGCAGGTGTTACGTAACCGTTGTCGGCGAAGTGGTAGAAGACTTCGGCGTTGACACTGTCGCGAGGATTTTCTTCGTCCATGGGCACGTCGACGGAGCAGTACGGGAGAGGTCCGGCTTCTTCCGATGCGTTGTCTACGTTCTGTTCATCCCAGTCTGCTTCGTCCGCTGCTGAGGCGAAGGCTCGGTCACCACGAAAGCCACCTGTGGGGTCCTGATTCTCGTGCAAGTTGGCGAGGTACGTTTGAAGGGTGAGTCGCTCGTAGAAGATCACATCACGTGCTGCTACTGTTTCCTTTGAGTGGACATCGAATTTTCCACGCGTTGTAATTTTTCTCGATGCCGAGGTGTAGTCCCCACTGTGCCCGTTGCGGAAATCTTACCGCTCGTGCTTCTGGGGGTCGGTACTGTACCATGCACCCGAAAACTCGTAACATTTTTGTGCTGCCCTGCTTTCCTGTCCACAACAGATGCGGTGATGCGTTATTCGGGAGTGACGACGACAACAGCAAGTTGTGCAGCATGACAGCATGGTCCATTGCTGCTGGCCACTGGTGGTTGGGTAGCCGCATGCCACGTAGCAGCTTGCGCATGCTATTCTGCAGAGTCCTGTTCATTCTTTCTGCCACACCTTGCTGCTGATGGGCATAGGGAAGGGAGAGGAGTTGCTTGATTCCCCTTTCCGCCAGGTACTGCTTGAAGCGCTGAGAGGTGTATTCGCCACCTCCGTCTGACTGGAAGCTTTTCAGCTGTGTTCCTGATTCCCTCTCTGCTATCGGTAGCCAGGCAGCGAACGCTGCGAGTGCCATGTTGCGGCTGGGTAGGTTTCGATGCCAGACGTATCGAGTGGCGGCGTCGATGAAGGTGATCGTGTAATTGTAGGTGACTTGTCCTGGTTCTCGATTGAAGAGGATGTCGCTGTATACTTTTTCGAGTGGTGCGTATGCAGGTGCGCTCGGGTTGTGGTGAGAAGAGAACGGTTGATGTGGTAAGTCGGCTTCGGGGCAGATGAGGCAAGTCCCTCGTGCACGTTGAAGTTCTCTGCCATCAGGTAGTAGTAGTGAGTCCTTGTCTAGGACTCCTGCTCGTATTGTGTTATTTAACACCGTATTGCTTGGATGTCCTGTACGTGCGTGCCAGATGTCTTCAGGGGCGCGATGTCCGGGTGAGCGTTGATACGCGTCGGAGTTGGAGTAGAAGCTGGCGACGAATTTGGCGCTTCGGTGGAATTCTCGTTGAGTCGGGGTCAGCTGCTGTGCGGGTGTTGGTGGTGCTTCGTCGACGATGACTGGTGTCGTTGTACGTGCTGCTGCGGATGTTGTTTCTGCTGCTGCCGATGTTGTCTCTCCTGCTGTCGTTGTTGTCTCTGCTGCAGCTGATGTTGTCTCTCCTGCTGTCGTTATTGTCTCTGTTGCTGCTGATGTTGTCTCTGCTGCTGCCGTTTGTTGAATCGTTGCTAATGCTCGTGTTCGTTCTGCTTCAGGGATGGTGTGCGAGTACCAGAAACCTCCCGGGCTGAAGTCGAGATCGAGATCCGGAGGATGTGTCCAGTCAGTGAAGTTGACGATGGCGTCGCTGTCTGCAGTGCCCAGGTCGGGGACGAAATCAAGAACGAAGACGTTGTTCTTCAACACTGCTCTTCCGATGTAGAGGCCGCCCTTCCCGTGGTATAACTTAAACTCCTGGGTGGTGCTGTCGGCTTCCAAGTGAATCACTTTCGCCATCAGCTGGCTAACACTCAGTAAGTTATAACCGAGTCCTTCTGCGATGAGTACCTTTGACATGTGCAGTATGACGTTTGTCTCTCTTGATTGAAGCTGAACTACTCCTTGTCGTCGTGTGCGCAGGTTCTGGTTGTTGGCGACCGGGATGACTACTTCTCGCTGGAGTCGATGTTCGCGTTGTACGAAGCGTCCGGAGGAGCACATGTGTTGTCCGCAGCAACTATCCTAGAACCAGGCATCGCTTTGGGCGATGGCGGCGTACGTTGGATTCGGCTGGAGTGACTCGCGGCGAGGCGTCCTGTTGTCGAGCTCTTCTTCCGGTGAGTAGTGGGGTGGTGACTCGGTTGTGCACGAATCCGTTATCTTCACCATGCAATTGACAATGCTTCTTGTTCCTTGTGCAGGTTGTCCAGTTGAAGTTGTTGAGGCTTGGATTGTGGTCGTCGGATTTGCTTGCGTTGAAGCAACTTGGGAGCTTGAAGGCCGTAGTTGTCGCTGTGGTGTTGTCTGACGAGACGGGCAATGCGTGCGAGGATGGCCCGAAGTCTTGCAGATGTGGCAGAACGGAGGTACCGTCTTTACTTGTTGCTGTTGTCGATTGTTGTTGCCGTTGTATCGTCGCTGAGTGTGAAACGCAAACTCCGGTGCTAATGCTTTCTTCTTGTGTCTTTCTTCTTGCAGGTCCATGTCCTGCTGCTCAGCATGAATTTCGGCACAGAGTGCCGCTTCGGAGATCCTCCCATGTGCTCGTAATATGGCGCGAGTGGAGCGCCAGTGGGGGCCGAGACCGCCGATGACCACCGTGACAAAGGCGTCTTCTGAAATCGACCCGCCGCATCGAAGAAGCTTGTCGCGCAGTTCGCGGCAGCGGCTGATATAAGCCATGCCTTTCTCGCCTGGTTTCATTTCAATCGTTGTCAGCTGCGCCATTAACCTGCTTTGATTTACGCTGTCTGTTGCTTGATACAGGTTCTTCAGGTGGTTGTACGCGAGCTCCGCGGAGTTGCCGTAGCCTAGGTAAGTCCTGATGTTCTGCTGCTGGGTTGGGGTGATGTTCTTCAGCAGAATCGTGTACGCCATCATCGATTGATATGTATACTGCTGCTTCTCATATTGTGTCCCGTTTGTCGGATATGGCAGGGACCCGTCGAAGAAGCCAAGAATCTGTGCTCCTTCCATCATCAGTTCAAACTCGAACGACCAGGTAAAGAAATCTTTGCCGTCGAAAGGCTTTGTCGTTTGTAGTTTTAGGACGTGCGCGAATTGCGATTGGACTTGTAACGCGTCCAATGTCCTTTCTTGTCCCGATGCAGGTTGCGGTTGCGGCATGAAGCTGACGGAGCCACGTTGGGGCTCGTACGGCGCAAAGGTAGGCTGCTGTTGTTGTTGTTGAATACCGCGTGCGTAGGATGAGCCATCGAGGCTCATAGGAGTCACGTTGTTGTTGTTGCTGTTGTTTGACTGCGCAGGTACTCCTTGCTGGTGCTGCTCGTAGAAGGACGGGAAGGAGAAGAACTTCTCCATCATGCTTGGATCGAAGCCTGCAGGAGTTTCCGTGGACCCAGCTGCTGGTCTCGTGGTAGTTCCTTCCTCTGTCTGTAGGCCAGAGGCAGGAGGTGGAGTAGGAGTAGTGCCTGGAGAGCCGTTGGAGGAGCTCCTCTCCTTCCTTGCAGACATGTCTTCTTGTATTTGAGTGTTAAAAGGAAAAATAACTTTAAACTCTAACCGCTCTCATACCATGTTGGGCTGAGGTGCCCTAGGATCTTTGTAGAGCTTAAAGTCTGAGTAGGATTGTAATAGCGGAAGCGTTTGAATGAAATGAGAAGAAGTGAACAAGAATGGAATGACTATGAATGAAGTGAGTACATATAGGAAACCCTAATTGGGTTGTACCCTCTATGGGATACCCCACTATAGCCTACACAAGTAAGTAAGCTATAATGTTCTGACACACCCCCATAGGCAAAGTGGGGGAGAACAAGGGGTCACAAGACCAGTCAAGCAAAGCAAAGCAAAGCTCAGGGTGGATCACAAAGTCACCACACATTCCGAGCACAAGTTCAATGGCCAGAAGGCCAGTTCACATGCAAGATCACATATATAGATATACAAGAGTCTAAGCAAGCAAGAGCAAGAGTATATATATGTGAAAGTACAAGCAAGGTCAAGAAGTGAGCAAGTGAGGCAAGACAGGCACAAGACCCAGCTGCGTGCAGAAACGCTGATGATCACAAGGTGCAAGTGCCTTGGTGAAGACATCAGCAGTGTTGGCCTCAGAGGCCACGTATGCAAGTCGCAACTGTCCACGCTGCTGTAGCTCACGAGCAAGAAAGTAGCAGAGAGCAATGTGCTTTGTCCTGTGCTCCAGTCGCTGCTCTCGACACAAGGCCAGCATGGCCTTGTTGTCTACGTACAGGACTGGAGGAGAACGAGGCGGCTCTCCAAGGTCGGTCAGCAGGTAGGTGAGCCAGCGAAGCTCCTGGGCAGCCATAGCCCCGGCGTAGATCTCAGCCTCACAACTGGAGCCGAGAATAGAAGACGAGCGGGTGGCCCACCACGAAACAGAGCCGGAACCAAGACTGAAGGTGTAACCCTGTGACGACCGCTGCGTAGCCTGGTCGTCAGCCCAGGAAGCGTCCGCATGCCCAGTGAGGACCACTGGACTCCGCCCTCCAAGCACTAGCCCCATGCCCGACGTACTGCACAAGTAGCGCAACACCCTCGTCGCTGCAGCCATGTGCTCTGGTCGATGTCTCCCAGGAGCAACATAGCGTGCGAGAATGCTAAGAGGGTATGCAAGGTCAGGTCGAGTGCAGGTCATCAGGTACATGAGGCAGCCAACAAGCTCTGGATACGGGCCACTCGACTCTACTGACTCATCCGAAGGCAGAGCTGAGAGCGAGTGGCGAGTAGGCAGAGGAGTGGCCTGAGGCGAGGAGTACGTGAAGCCGAAGCGCTGAAGGACCTGCTGCACCATGTGTGACTGAGTCAGGGTAATGGTGCGGCGTGCTCTGTCCCGGGTGATCTGCAAGCCAAGGTAGCTGCGCAGTTCACCCAGGTCAGTGCACGTGTGTCTCTTCTGCAGCTCGGACTTCACGTAGGCGAGTCCAGCAGTGTCAGCTGTGGCAAAGACCAAGTCGTCGACGTACACGAGGATGTAGAACGGCGGCAGAGAGGTGTCGGTGCGCAGAAACAGCGACGGGTCTGCAGTGGAAGGAGCAAACCCAAGTGCCGCCAGCGTAGTCCTCAGTGTGTCATGCCACTCACGCGGCGCCTGGCGGAGACCGTAGACTGGACGCCGGAGACTCCGCAGGGTACCAGGAGGGAAAGACCCAGTGAAGCCAGGTGGGCGGCGCAGCCAGATCTCCTCGTGCAGGCTGCCCTGCAAGAAAGCAGTGCTGAAGTCGAGAGAGTGCAGCTCGTAGTCACGGTGAGCAGCAACGTGCAGCAGTACCCGAAGAGTGGTCATCTTCGGGGTGGGGGAGAAGGTCTGAAAGTAGTCAACTCCCTGCCGCTGACTGAAGCCACAAGCCACGTAACGCGCCTTGAAGACAGGCGGAGAACCCAGTGGCCGCTTCACCCTGAAGATCCACATGCCACTGACGATGTTCGCCCCAGGAGGGGGGACAGCGTCAACGTAGGTGCCTGTGGACTTCCAGGAAGCCATCTCTGCATCCATAGCTGCCTGCCACTGAGAGGAGTAGGGACCCTCTATCGCCTCCGCGTAAGAGCGCGGAGTCGGGATGTCAAGTGCATCCGGGTCTCCCTCAGGGGTAAGCAGTACGGACACGAGATGAGGTGAAGCAGCGGCCAGACACTGGAACTCCTCCTACCTGACCTCAAGGACGTCCGTGCCAAGGGTACACTCACCCCCGACGGACGAAGGACAGGCAAACTCAGACTCAGCGACAAGACTAGCAGCGTAGTCTAGACGACAGCGAGCAGCAAAGTCGACGAGCTCAGTAACAAGGGCAGACGCAGCAGTAGACTCGAAAGAAGGGTCAGTGACGGCAGTAGCAAGGAGACGCGTGACAGTAGGACTGGCAGCACGAAGAGAGTCCGACTCCGGGTCGGCAAGAGCAGGAAGAGAGGAAGCAGGAGGAGAAGGCAAAGGGGCACGCAGAGGAGCAGTAGACGGACGCAGAGACATCCGGTGCGTGCCAGAGCCTAGGCTCAGCACCCACAGCAGCACCAGAGTCACCAGTGACCTCGACAGGCTCGACCGCGTCTACCTGGGACACCCCTGAAGGGGCAGGACTCTGAGGGGGAGGGGGGTCTACCGGGGGGGGACCTGGTACCAAGAAGAGCGGGGGTGGGGGGAGGGACGGAGTGCGGTAGGGGAAGAGGCGGTAGTAGGGTACCGACGCGTCGAGCGTGACGTCCTGGGAGGACATAACACGGCGAGAGGTGGGGTGGTAGAACTGCCACCCAGGGGCGTCGGGGGGGAACCCCAGGAAGACGCAGGGAGCAGCGCGAGGGGACAGCTTGTCCGCAGACAAGTCGCGGACAAACGCCCGAGATCCCCAGACCCAGAACGCCGACGCATCGCCAACCTTCCCCGTCCACAGCAGGGCTGGGGAGGTCTCCGGCCTGGAGACCCTGGGGTGGAGGTTGATCTGATGCGCCGCGTACCTGACCGCAAACGGCCACAGAAAATGGGGGGCAGCCGCATGCATCATAGACGTACGAGCGACGTCCATGGCCATGCCAATGCGGCGCTCTGCAATCCCATTTTGTTGCGGTGAGTCCGGAAGCGTGAAGGTCTGACGGATGCCTCGCGCACGACAGTAGGCACGCAGAAGGCCAGAGGAGAACTCTCCGCCTCTGTCCGAGTGCAGACGCAACACAGGAAAGTCCGAGCCAAAGCTCTGCCTGAGCTGGAGACGAGCTGCGCGGATCCAGTCGATCAGCACCTCAGTGACATCACCCTTGCTGCGCAAGGGGAAGACTGTGGTGTAACGCGAGTAGTCGTCAACCACCAACAGGAAGTAGCGCTCGTGACCTAGTCCACGGACGCGGGCAGGGCCCCACACGTCCATGTGAAGCGTCTGCAACGGAGCCTCTGTCGGAGGAAACTGGGAGGAGTGAGGGGCAGCACGCTGGCGCCCCTCGACACAGGGGACACAGGCAGGGCCAGGGCCCTGAGGAAGGGGAGGGAGGGACCGGGGGAGACCAGACACAAGAAGACAGGAGGCCATGCCTCTGAGCCGAAGCAGAGAGGGGTGACCCAGGCGGTGGTGCCAGAGGAGAGTCTCGTGAGACAGGCGACGACACGAACAGGGGGCAGACTCAGGACCAGACCTGGACGCTGCAGCAAACACCTGACCTGACGAAGGGACCCTACCAGACTCAGGAACTGGAGGAGAAGCAGTGGTCAGAGTGTACAGGCTCGACCCTGGCTGACGTGTAAACGTAGCCAGGTGACGACCTGTGCTAGCCTCTGTGCAGTGCGTCACTCGCTGACGAGCAGGGGTGAACTGGTGGACTCCCGCATCCTGTAGGTCAGCACCACTCACCAAGTTCGTAGAGAATGAGGGGAGGTAGAGACCAGACAGGGTGCCAGAGGGAGCCGCCGGACACGGGAGGACGGTGGAGAAGCGAGACAGGACAGGACCCCCAGAGGGGTCAGCCAAGGACACCGCAACAGGCCGACTAAGTGGCGTGAGTGTGGTGCGGTCCCGAAAGAAGGAGCGAGACGCTCCAGAGTCAAGGGTGAAGGTGTGGGAGGCCGAAGCCGACGCAGTACCTGAGAGCGCAGACTCACTAGTACCTGAGAGAGCAGCCTCACCCGTACCTGAGAGCACAGACGCACTGGCACCTAGAGGAGAAGCCTCGCTGGCACCTAGAGCAGCAGTACCAATGCCCGGGTCGGGCGGGAAACACCGGTAACAGTCACCCTCATCACTAATGGTCACAGCATACATGGCAGCAAGGATAGCATCAAAGTCAAGATCAAAGATAGCTACACCAGCCCTAGACAGCTCTCCCCAGCGGGGGATCTCCGCGGCCTCCGGGAACTGCTGGCGCCAAGCGTCCGTCAGGCGGCCAAAGCAGCGCTGGGCGGTGTGGGTACCCCCACACTGCTCTCCAGCGCGGTCGCTAGTGCGAAGAACGTAGGTGCAGGGACCAAAACCCCCACCACGCTGACGCTGCGTGTACCACTCACGGAGCTGCTGAGGGGTGGGGACGTCGCGAGAACGCTGCTGCTGCTGCTGCTGCTGCTGCTGCTGCTGGCGCTGACCACCCCCAGTGCTGCTCCGCTGCGAAGCGCCACTCCGACCACCTCCACCACCGCCACCCCCGCCTCCGCCTCCACCGCCGCCGCCTCCGCCACCTCCGCTCCCACCGCCACCGCCGCCGCCACCCCCGCCTCCACTGCCGCCACTAGCACCCCCACCCCCGCCACCACCTCCACCGCCACCCCCACTCCCTCCGCCGCCTCCACCTCCACCTCCACCGCCCCCGCTGGCCCCACCCGCTCCCTTGCCCCCCTTGCCCTTGCCAGGGCGGCGTCTCCCGCTAGGGGCAGACGCCGCACCGACCGACTCAAGACCAACGAGGTCGGCCGCACCGGCAGAGGCGACAGAGGGCAAGAGAGGGGAAGGAGAACACCCCTCAAAGATGGGGGCGCGGGGGTCACCTCGAGAGGCTCCTACAGCGACTATGCTCTTCTCCGCCGCTAGGAGGGCCTTCTTGAGGCTGTCGACTGTGAGAGTGGTGGGACAGACCGCGAGGAAGTGGTCCCGGACTACACGAAGGGAGTCAGGGAGGCGAGTGACTAGAAAGTAGAGAGTGATGTACATGGGGGGGGGGTTCTTGGCGCAGAAGTCAGCAGGAAGCGCAGCGCGGTAGCGGGTGTCACTAGTGCGGAGGTGCGTAATGAGATCAACGAATGTGGGAAAGGCGGCAAGGTCAGGGAAGAGGAAGGGGAGCATGAGGCGGCTCAGTGCAGCAGTGGCAGGGGAGGAGTAGCGCGCAACTACAGCGTCGTACAAGGTCTGGGCACTCTTGTACTGACTAAAGTGCGCGCGCTCAGCGGTAGGCAGGTGGCGACGCACAGCAAGACGTGCAGCAGCGTCGCGTGTGGCCCACTGGGAGCGGACAGTGGGGTCAGCATCAGCAGCAGGGGCAGGGACGGCGCCAGAGGTGAGGTCAAAGAGAGAAAGACCGTCCGCCCTATCGCACTGTAAGAACAGCTGGAGGTCGTCTACCCAGACCTCAAAGTCAATGGCGCGACCCTCAGCGTCAAAAGCTAGGACACTAGGGGTAGCCATGACGACAGACTAGCAGTGCAAGCAGTGTGGGAAGGGAACGCAGTAGCAGTGGGGCTGTGCTCACCAGACAGGGCAGGTCGGGCGGCTCGGCAGCAGTGCGGCTCGGCTGCGGGGCGGCTCGGCGGCTGCTACTGGGCGGCTCGGCGGCCGGTGGCTCGGCGGCTGCTGCTGGGCGGCTCGGCTGCTACGGGGCGGCTCGGCGGCCCGGCGGTTCGGCGGCTGGTGCTGGGCAGCTCGGCTGGACTGCGGCTCGGCGGCTGCTGCTGGGCGGGTCGGCTGCTCCGTTACCGGGCGGCGTAGCAAAGAAGGTGAGGGCGGCGGGGCCGCGTAGGTGAGGGCGGCGGGGCCGCGAAGGTAAGGGCGGCGGGGCCGCGAAGGTGAGGGCGGCGGGGCCGCGAAGGTAAGGGCGGTGGGGCCGCGAAGGTGAGGGCGGCGGGGCCGCGAGGGTACGGACGGCTGCGCCGCGGAGGTAAGGGCGGCGGGGCCGCGTAGGTGAGGCGGCTGGGCCGCGACGTGAGGGCGGCGGGGCCGCGACGTAAGGGCGGCGGGGCCGCGACGTGAGGGCGGCGGGGCCGCAAAGGTGAGGCGGCGGGGCCGTAACGTGAGGGCGGCGGGGCCGCGACGTAAGGGCGGCGGGGCCGCGTAGGTGAGGCGGCGGGGCCGCGACGTAAGGGCGGCGGGGCCGCGACGTAAGGGCGGCGGGGCCGCGACGTAAGGGCGGCGGGGCCGCGACGTAAGGGCGGCGGGGCCGCGTAGGTAAGGGCGGCGGGGCCGCGACGTAAGGGCGGCGGGGCCGCGACGTAAGGGCGGCGGGGCCGCGACGTAAGGGCGGCGGGGCCGCGACGTAAGGGCGGCGGGGCCGCGACGTAAGGGCGGCGGGGCCGCGTAGGTAAGGGCGGCGGGGCCGCGACGTAAGGGCGGCGGGGTCGCGTAGGTAAGGGCGACACGAAGGGTCGCTAAAAAAAAGAACGCGAGCCTCGGGGCGCGCTTTGGAGGGCCCTATGAACAGTCCCTAGGAGGGGACCTGCTCTGATTCCATGAGAAGAAGTGAACGAGAATGGAATGACTATGAATGAAGTAAGTACATATAGGAAACCCTAATTGGGTTGTACCCTCTATGGGATACCCCACTATAGCCTACACAAGTAAGTAAGCTATAATGTTCTGACATGAAAGTCCTTGAACCACCTTGCGCTAATATATGAGGGCAAAGTAAGTTGATTAAACAAGCAAATACAAAGGTTTATATAAGAGTACAAGGAATACGAATAGATAAGTTTAAACCGTTTTACTGTTGCGATTCGATACAGTGCGACTCGGGCAACTGCTCAATGTCGAGTCAGTTGTGTGTCCTTGCTGTCGCGCTGTATTTGTCAAGTCAAAGGTCGCTGACCTTTGACCTTCGCGTAACCTCCAGGCGGTTACCCTAACCTCCGAGGGTTGACTCGCGATGCTTCGATTTGGACTGCTTCGCTAGTGTCCTGAGTTTCGACACGACAGAGGCGCTTAAGACTTATTATTCCCAACACTAGACACCCTGGAAAATCAGTTTTTTTTTTACCAACTCCACTAACCACTCAGCCATGAATCTATCCCAACAATTATAAGACAACTGTCGGTGTGTACAAGTTAAGCCAGTATAGGGATTAGGGGCAATCTTATGACTAGGGGGTATCTTCTAAACGGTTTTTTGTCCATTTATAAGAATTATAAGACACCCTAAACCGTCCCAATTACAAGACACAGCAAGCTTTTTTTCTAATGTATAAGATAAGACATATATGTCTTCTATCCGGGCGATGACGGTATCCTAATTTCTAGTGTAAAAGATGAGACAGACATATACGCCTTATATCCGGGCAATGACGGTAACGTCAGCCGCATTCAGCGACTGCTTACTAGCAAAGCGCTGCATGCATTAAGAAAAGCCCATAGCGAGGCAGCGATCACTGTAGGTTGCCAATTACTGCCTTGGTGAAGTCGGAGGTGCCCGAGGAGCCACCCAGGTCGCGCGTGAGGAAGCGGCCGGCTTCAATGGTGGCCATGACGGCGGCGTCTATGCGGTCGGCATGCGCACCCAGCCCCATGTGGCGCAGCATCATCACCGCACTCAGCAGCAGCGCCGTCGGGTTCGCCAGGTTCTGCCATGTGCCGGCGCGAGGGGAGGGCGGGTGAGGATTGTTGAGAGGGTGAGGGGAGGGGAGGGGTTGGAAGGAAATCGTTTGGGGAGTGGAGGGAAGGGAGGGGGTGGGAGAGGGGATCATTGGGAGGGTGAGGAGAGGGGATCATTGGGAGGGTGAGGAGAGGGGATCATTGGGAGGGTGAGGAGAAGGGATCATTGGGAGGGTGAGGAGAGGGGAGGAAGGGGCCAGATAAGCGAGAGAGGAAGAAGAGTCCTTGGGGCCGGAAGATAGGGAAGGTGTGCTTTCCATTCAAAGCTACAACCACCGCCAGATTCCACTCACTTGACACTCTCCCACTCACTTGACACTCTCCCACTCACTTGACACTCTCCCACTCACTTGACACTCTCCCACTCACTTGACACTCTCCCACTCACTTGACACTCTCCCACTCACTTGACACTCTCCCACTCACTTGACACTCTCCCACTCACTTGACACTCTCCCACTCACTTGACACTCTCCCACTCACTTGACACTCTCCCACTCACTTGACACTCTCCCACTCACTTGACACTCTCCCACTCACTTGACACTCTCCCACTCACTTGACACTCTCCCACTCACTTGACACTCTCCCACTCACTTGACACTCTCCCACTCACTTGACACTCTCCCACTCACTTGACACTCTCCCACTCACTTGACACTCTCCCACTCACTTGACACTCTCCCACTCACTTGACACTCTCCCACTCACTTGACACTCTCCCACTCACTTGACACTCATCTTGCCCCGGCCATCCATCCTTGTGCCCACCTCACCTTGCCAGCGATGTCAGGCGCGGTGCCATGAACGGCCTCCATGAGAGCAAGCCCGTCGCGGCCGATGTTGCCCGAGGGCGTGAGGCCCAGCCCGCCGATGAGCCCCGCGGCCAGGTCGCTCACGATGTCGCCGTACAGGTTGGGCATCACCAGCACGTCAAAGTCGCGCGGCTCCCGCACCAGCTGCGCCCATTTTGGAAGGGGGGGGGGGGGGGGGGGGGTTGGGGGAGAAGGGGGATCGGGGAGGGCGGAAAAGGGGGTGGAGAGGGTGTGCGGGGAGACAGGCTGGGCATCACCAGCACATCAAAGTCCCGCGGCTCCCGCACCAGCTGCGCCCATTGGGGGGACGAGAGGGGGATGGGGGAGAGGAGGCGGGGGGGGGTTGGCAGACTAAGGATGTGCTGCTGCAGGTGGGGTTGGAGGGGGCGGAGAGGAGGTCGAGGGAATCGATGGATGTGGAGTGGAGTGGCATACACGGTGGTCACGCAGAGCCCTGTGTGCCATGCACCACACTATGTGAATCTGAAACCACCGTTGTACCAGCGCACATGCGGCCAGCATGCGGCATGCAGGCAGCACAGCAACGCCACCACCATGCACGGTACAACCATCATCGCACCATGATTGCACCATCACTCGACCATCATAAATACCAGCAGCACCCCAGCATCATGGCAGCAGCAGCATCCAACCGAGCATGCACCCTCAGCGCACATCCTGGGTGGGCGCACTGACCATCATGCAGGCGTTGTCGATGATGAGCTCCTCGTACTGCACATCGGGGTACTGCTCCGCCACCTCCCTGCAGCACTGCCGCGCCGTATGCCCCATGCCCCGTGCCCCATGCCCGCACACCAAGAGGGGAGGAGAGTGGGAAATGAAGGTGATTGGTTGGCGTTTGTGAGAGAAAGTGCGTGATGGAATTTGATAGGGAGAGAGAGCGCTTGTGATAAGAGTGGTGAGGGAAGCAGGGGAGGAATAGCAGTTACATGGTTGGGGAATGGCAGGTGCAAGGGGGGAATGGCAGGGGAAGCGGGATAAGTGGTGCAAGGGGAGGGAAATGGGATGTGAAGGGGCCGACTCACCTGCAGGAAGAGCCCGTCGCTCTTCTTCATGATGTTGGCCTTGTGGATGGCGGTGACGCGCTGCCTGTTGTGCTCGCGCGCGTACTTGAAGGCGTACTCCGCCACGCGCATGCTGCCCGCGCGCGTTATCACCTTGAGCGACTCCACCACGCCCTTCACCACCTGCGCGCGTAAGGGCCAAGGGGGGGGGAAGGGGAGGGAAGGGATGGGGGAGGGTGGGAGCGGGTAGGGTGGGGAGGGGTATGTCAGTAGGGAGTGCAATGGTGTGGCAGTAACGACTCCACCACGCCCCTCACCACCTGCCCGCGCAGAGAGGCGAATGGTGGGGGGGGGGGAGGGGTGGGGAGGGGTGGGGTGGGGTGGGTGTGTCAGGCAGCTACAGCAAGGGAGTGAGTCACCTGTCAGCAGCACCCTTGCACCAACCCACGTCCCTTCCCTCCCCACGTCCCGTCCACTACCCGCTGTGCCTATGCGCCCAATCCTCGTCCTTCGACTCCTCCTCTCCGCACCTCACCCGCTACCCCACCACCGCCCACATTGTCTTGTGGCATTCCACCCGCCTCAACCCTCGCCCGCTCGCCTCTCCCATTTTCCCCACCTTCTTTTCCTTCAGCCCCATCCCTTCCTGCCAGCCCCCCCCCCCTCCTCCCCCATCCCCCCCATCCGCTCACCGTGTGTTCCAGCCCGCTGTACTCCCCCTCCGTGTTTTCGCGAATGGTAACCAGGTCCACGTCGTCGTACCGCGTGCGGTAACCAGGAATGCTCTTGCACGGCCGCACGTTCGCGAACAACCCCAGCTCCTTGCGCAGGGTGAGGTTGAGCGACCGGAAGCCCTTCCCGATGGGCGTCGTCATGGGGCCCTTGAGCCCCACGCCGTTGCGCCGCACCGACTCCAGGGATTCGAGGGTCACGAAGCTGTTCGTGCGCGGGTCGACGGTCGTGCCGATCGCCTGCTCCTCCCACTCCACCGGCACTCCCGCCGCCGCAAACACCTGCCGGGCGCGCCGACGGCCGGGGGAGGCAGGAGGGGAAGGGGCCGAGGAGAAGGGGAGGATAAGGGTGAGAGAGGGCAAGGGACGGGGAGTTCGCGGAGGGGGTTGGCAGAAAAAGAGCGCGTTGGGATCTCTGCGCGCGCCGAACCTGCTTGACGGCCACCGCGATTTCCGGGCCGATGCCGTCGCCTGGGAAGAGCGTCACGACGCGCTTCTCCTCCTCCGAGCTTGCCGCCGCCGCCGACGACATGCCGCGCCGCCACGCGCCCCGCGCCCACTCGGCCGCCGCCGCGCCCCCTTGTGCCGGGCTCGCCGGGCTGTGCGCGCCCGATCCGACGGGCGCCGCGCCGTCGATCGCGGGCGCGAGCGAGCTCATGGCTCGCGATAGCGAGGCTGCGACGCCAGGCGACCCGTTGACGAGTCGCGCGACGCGCTTGAGGGCGACTGAAGCCATGGCGGCGATTGGTGGGCGAGAGGCTAACGTGGATCTACAGGCGAAGCGCTGGTGGATGAGATCGATCGAAGCGACGCGAATCGGTGCCGAAACGACGCGTCGATCGCAGCGGAACGGACGGTCGAAATTTGACGGATTGCGTCGACGGAGACGGAATGGCGAGACGCGGATCGATGGATGGTCGGATGGAAGCAAATGAGGGTATTTCAGAGCGGGCGGACGCGCAACGGCGGAGCGAGGCACGATGCGGGTGAAGCTAGCCTTGCGGGAAAAGCGGCGAGCGAGGAGGAACGGAAAGGCGCAAGTGGGGCGTGGCTCGGATCTACTTACGTACTCGCTCTGCTTGAAGCACTTATTAGTTGCCTTTACCCAGTTGCTGGATTGGCCCTTCCTCCCTAGCCCCTTGGTGTTCCGCGCGCGCACACTCCGCCCAGACCCGATTGCGCAGCAGAGCAGAGCACTCACAGAGACCGCGCCGTGCGAAATGAAGGCGGTCGTGTGCGACCAATGGGGGACACGTGGTCAGGAAAGTGAATGACGGATTCGCCCTTGCGTTGCGCCTCAACTTCTACTGACGAATGGGCGACGGCGTAGGGAAGTGTCTCGTGACGTGGACACTGAACGCGTTACATAGCAGTCCGTAATCCGTATGTCTAGGTGTTTTGTGGAGCTTAATTCTGCTATGATTCACACTAGACTACATGTGGGTGGATGAATCTTCTGAAACTTTGGTGAGCAAACGTTGGCATGCAACCATGGACTTCAATGAATACGTATACACTGAATAACCCAGGAGATTCTTGAACACAAACACGTGAGTGATTTCTTGAAATACGGTAAATTGCTTGTCCTCTCCTTCATATCGGCTTCACTGCCTTGCTCTTCCATACCTGCTGCCACGCTGCTGCCACACAGAAACACCAGTTGTGAAGAAGCCAAGACGCATATTGCATGCAATGCAACAAATTTCAATAAGTGAATATGGGTGAATGTGAGTGAGTGGTAAGTATCAACGAGCATCACTTGCAGCACATGTGAGCACGTGGTGGTGAAAGTGTGCAGCACATACAATCGCTGGTCACACGGTGCATCCTCCACACTCACTTGCGAGGGTGTGAAGCTGAAGCCACCCGTGACTCCTCCCACACCCCTTCTCGCTCGCTTTGCCCGTGCCCTCTGCTCCTCCTCGTCCTCTTCGTCTTCCTCTTCCTCCTCCTCCTCATCATCCTCCTCCTCTATGCCACCACGCCTCACATGCTCCTCCTCATCACTCTCCTCCCCGTCACTCTGCATGCTCACTCCTGCTGTACCAACGCCTGACACACCCAAACTGCTCCACCCACCAACCACTGCTCTTCCCCTCCCCCTTCCCCTCCCTACACCCCCTGCTGCTGCAGCTGCTGCCCCTCTGCCCCGTCCCCTTCCCCGCCCCTCCCGCTGACTCATGGGGGAGGCAGCAGTGGCGGAGCGCCGCTGGGAGGCTGCTCGCGCTGCTGATGCCTGGGGCAGCATGGAGTGGGGGAAGGGGTGGCACGGGGGAAGAAGCAGAGAGCGCGCACACAAGGAGTTATGGACTTGGGGAAACAGGCTGCAAAAGAAGAGAGCACAGAAGGTGAGGAGTGGAAGGAGAGGGAGAGCTTAAACAGAAAAGCTATCAAGTCAAGGCGCACTGACCCTGGAGCCCAGGCCCACTTCCTCCACGTCCTCATCGTCCACACCACGTGCTGAAGCCATGCCACCAGCCCCACGTGGCGCTGCCATCATGCCCTGACCGTTTTGAGCAGGCAGGTCGTCGTCCTCGATCTCCTCCTCCTCCATCGCCACCTTGGTGCTGCCCACACTCGCTGCTGCCCTCCCACCTGCTGGCGTGGCTGCTGCTGCTGGCCTGCACACACGGCAGCAGAGGCAGGGACGCACATGGGTGAGCAGAGGCAGGCTCACATGCTGCCATGCACAGCATACATTCTTCTTTGCATTGTACGCACGAGCATTGGGATACCAGGCATGGGGATGCACATCAACAACCCATGCCGTGCCTCCCTCCCATCGCACCTGCCTCGCACCTGCCTCGCAGCCCCATGCTCTCAAACGTCGCCTGCTTCATTCCCCTTCCCCCTGCTCCCCCACTGCTGCTGGCCCCCCTACCCCTCCCCCCCCCCCCCTCGCCCCCCTCTTAATGGCACCCCATCACCAGCCGCCGCTTTCGCACTGCCTCTCCCTCTCCCCCTACCTCCCCGCCCCCTTCCCCCTCTACCCTTGCTTCCCTGCTCCCATTCGTCCGCCTCCCACTCATCCCCCTCGTCCCCCCCCTCCCTCTCTTCCCCCTGCTTGGGCGCGTCCATGCTGCCACGCTGCAGTGTAGAGGCAGGCGAAAGGGTGGGGGAGGGGCGCGGGGGGGATATATGAAGGGCGGAGAAGGTGGGGAGTGGGGGGGCCGGGGAGGTGGGGAGATTGCATGGAGCACAGCGTGGCATGGCATGGAGCACAGCGTGGCATGGCATGGAGCACAGCGTGGCATGGCATGGGATGGGATGGGATGGAGTTTGCAGATTGAAAGGGCCAGGGATCAGGGCATGGATTGCACAGATGACAATTCCAAGGCATGCGACCAGAGGCACATGCCATGCCACGTGCTGCGAGTTGAACCAACATCCTGCACCCACTCGCTCGCTCGCCTGCTCCATGCATGAGCCCCTCACTCGCTCAACTGTACTCACATCGGGCATCGGCTGCGCTGCTCCTGCATCGCCAGCGCCATCGCCAGGCGCCGCCGCACCACCGCGCTTCTCCATGGCCTGCCCAGAGCACACAGCGCAGGCAGAGCAGCGTGGGGGCTTGAGGGCCGGAAAGGCGGATGCTTGGAGGAGCAGTGGGTGGGATGGCAGCAGGTGAAGGCAAGGCAAAGGGGTGCGTGCTTCATGGTTCCCTTCCCTGCAGCAAGCACCACAAATAGCCAGGAGCAAGCAAGCAAGCAAGCATCGTGTGCAACAGGTATCCCTCCCCCACCTGCAGCACGCACTGCTCCACGAGTCGCAAGATGTCCTCATCGTCCCTCAAACCCGCCCCTTCCTGCTCCTTCACCAGCCACGCCTGCACAGGATGAAGTGAAGGACCGCCGTGCCGAGATGGCAGGGGCGTGGCGGACAGGGGGGGTGTGGATGAGAAAGCGACAAAGCGAAAGAATGCGAGAGAGATGGAGTGACATAGTTAGAGGTGGTAGGCAGAGAGGAGGGAGGGGGAGAGTAGGGGGGGAGGAGAGGAGGGGGGGAGGAGAGGAGGGATATCCATGGGAAAAGGCGGCGATGGGGAGGAACGCAAGAGAGGGGCGTGAGAGAAGAGAGGCATGTGTGGGTGGAGGCAGGCAGCAGATGGTTGGTCTGCGTGTGAGAGAAGGCTGACTGACCTGGGTGTCGGAGAGGGCTGACTGACCTGGGTGTCGGAGAGGGCTGACTGACCTGGGTGTCGGAGAGGGCTGACTGACCTGGGTGTCGGAGAGGGCTGACTGACCTGGGTGTCGGAGAGGGCTGACTGACCTGGGTGTCGGAGTGAGCTGACTGACCTGGGTGTCGGAGAGGGCTGACTGACCTGGGTGTCGGAGAGGGCTGACTGACCTGGGTGTCGGAGAGGGCTGACTGACCTGGGTGTCGGAGAGGGCTGACTGACCTGGGTGTCGGAGAGGGCTGACTGACCTGGGTGTCGGAGAGGGCTGACCCATATGTGGTTGTGAGTGAAGGCTGACCTGGGTGTCGGAGAGGGCTGACTGACCTGGGTGTCGGAGAGGGCTGACTGACCTGGGTGTCGGAGAGGGCTGACTGACCTGGGTGTCGGAGAGGGCTGACTGACCTGGGTGTCGGAGAGGGCTGACTGACCTGGGTGTCGGAGAGGGCTGACTGACCTGGGTGTCGGAGAGGGCTGACTGACCTGGGTGTCGGAGAGGGCTGACTGACCTGGGTGTCGGAGAGGGCTGACTGACCTGGGTGTCGGAGAGGGCTGACTGACCTGGGTGTCGGAGAGGGCTGACTGACCTGGGTGTCGGAGAGGGCTGACTGACCTGGGTGTCGGAGAGGGCTGACTGACCTGGGTGTCGGAGTGAGCTGACCCATATGTGGTTGTGAGTGAAGGCTGACCTGGGTGTCGGAGAGCGAGGAGGATAGGAAGGAGGAGAAGGCGTGCTTCTCATCGCGGCCCACAAACCCATGCAGCGCCTCCGCCAGCCCCCCCAGCGACAGCACCTCCAGTTTCTTTGAGGGGGAAGGCGGGAGAGGGAAGGGGGGAAGGTGCGCCGGGAGAGAAGAGGGAGGAGAGGTGAGAGATGGAGGTGGGAGGTGAGGAGGGGGAGAGGATGGAGGGGGAGAGGATGGAGGGGGAGAGGATGGAGGGGGAGAGGATGGAGCGGGAGAGGAGTGGAGCGATGGAAGATGGAGAGGGGCACATGAGCAGATGGAGAGGGGCACATGAGCAGATGGAGAGGGGCACATGAGCAGATGGAGAGGGGCACATGAGCAGATGGAGGAGGGAGGCGGATGCGGACAGCAGGGCCATCCATGCTGCCCTCCAATCACCACCACCACGTGGCCTATCAACCACCACGTGGCCTATCAACCACCACGTGGCCTATCAACCACCACGTGGCCTATCAACCACCACGTGGCCTATCAACCACCACGTGGCCTATCACCCACCACGTTGCTATCTCGCAGCAGCTGCTCGATGTTGCTCGGATTCAACTCGTCCTGCTGCACCACACTTGATGGAGAAAGCCCCACCCCACCATCACCACCCACCATCACCACCCACCATCACCCATCAGCACCCACCACGTTGCTATCCCTGAGCAGCTGCTCGATGTTGCTCTGATTGAGCTCGTCCGGCTGCACCACCCTCTCCTCGCCCACCTCCACAACGGCTGAGGGTACACGCGCAGCAGGCAGGCACAACAGGAGCACCAAGGATGAGGTGTTAGGAGTGGGAGCACGTGCAGTGCAGGTGCACAAGGTTTCTCTGCCAGCGGGTACTTCCCCTTGCTCCCACCCCCCGCCACTGCCCACCCGCCACCCTAAGCCCCGCCATGCTCTGCCCTCCGCCACTCCCCCAGCAGCACCATGCAAGCAGCACCATGCAAGCAGCACCATGCAAGCAGCACTCACTGGTGGAGGGCTTCCTGGTGGGCGCCTTGAAGAACATGAGCATGTCGTGAGGGTTCGCCACCTGCATACATGCACGCACATGTGCACCGCATAGATGGATGCGTGAATGTGTCACGCGCACATGCACACATGCACACATGCCCACGTGCACACGTGCACACATGCACGCATACACACACGCCATACACCACACCATCCCAACGCAACACAGGGTACAAGACAAGACAATACAGCCGTTCTACACGAACACAGTCCTCAGCCCATCCCATGCAATTATCACTCCCCACCCCACCACATTGCCCCCCACCATGCCGTGCCACACCATACCCCCACCTTGCCTTGCCGCACCGCGCCCCACTGTGCCCCATGCGCCATGCGCCATGCACCTGCACCCACCTTGCCCACAAACTGTTGCCCAAAGCGCTGCGAGTTGATGGTGGAGAAGCCCGAGTAGTCCACCTGGGGGGGAGAGGTGGAAGGGGGGAGGGGGGAGGGTGGAGGGTGGAGGGGGTGGGTGGAGGGGGGAGGGTGGAGGGTGGAGGGCGGAGGGGGTGGGTGGAGGGGGGAGGGTGGAGGGTGGAGAAAGGGGGAAATGGGAGAAGGGCGGAGGAGAGTGGCAAAAGAGGGAGGGGAAACGGAGGCGGTCAGGGAGCAGGAGGTGGAGGGGTCAGGGAAGGATGAAGGCGATGGTCGTTGTACAAAGCACGCTGCACAACTTGCCCTCGCCTCGCCTTCACGTTGCTTCCACACAAAAGAGCAATTCTTGCACTCGCCTATACCAAGAGTGACTCACGCGAATGCGTATGAGCGGCAGCGGCACCGGAACCTCCCTGCTCCCCTCTCTGCCGCCCCCATCCAGCAGCCCCTCTGGCAGCTGTGCTGCTCGCCTCGCCCTGTAGCTGCTCTCTGCCTTGGCTATCATGCGCTGCACCTGAGGGGGGGGAGGTATGCATGGGGAGGCACGCATGGGGAGGCACGCATGGGGAGGCACGCATGGGGAGGCACGCATGGGGAGGCACGCATGGGGAGGCACGCATGGGGAGGCACGCATGGGGAGGCACGCATGGGGAGGCACGCATGGGGAGGCACGCATGGGGAGGCACGCATGGGGAGGCACGCATGGGGAGGCACACATGGGGAGGCACGCATGGGGCATGGGAGGAGAGGTGAGAGGGGGGGAATGTGTCACGAGCGCAAGCAGCGATCAAATCAGCCCTGCCACCGTCTCACCCCGCCCCCCTGCCAGCGATCAAATCAGCCCCCCTGCTCTGCGCTGCACAGTGCTCGCCTCTCCCTGAAGCTGCGCTCCGCCTGTGCTATCATGCGCTCCGCCTGTGCTATCATGCGCTCCGCCTGTGCTATCATGCGCTCCGCCTGTGCTATCATGCGCTCCGCCTGTGCTATCATGCGCTCCGCCTGTGCTATCATGCGCTCCGCCTGTGCTATCATGCGCTCCGCCTGTGCTATCATGCGCTCCGCCTGTGCTATCATGCGCTCCGCCTGTGCTATCATGCGCTCCGCCTGTGCTATCATGCGCTCCGCCTGTGCTATCATGCGCTCCGCCTGTGCTATCATGCGCTCCGCCTGTGCTATCATGCGCTCCGCCTGTGCTATCATGCGCTCCGCCTGTGCTATCATGCGCTCCGCCTGTGCTATCATGCGCTCCGCCTGTGCTATCATGCGCTCCGCCTGTGCTATCATGCGCTCCGCCTGTGCTATCATGCGCTCCGCCTGTGCTATCATGCGCTCCGCCTGTGCTATCATGCGCTCCGCCTGTGCTATCATGCGCTCCGCCTGTGCTATCATGCGCTCCGCCTGTGCTATCATGCGCTCCGCCTGTGCTATCATGCGCTCCGCCTGTGCTATCATGCGCTCCGCCTGTGCTATCATGCGCTCCGCCTGTGCTATCATGCGCTCCGCCTGTGCTATCATGCGCTCCGCCTGTGCTATCATGCGCTCCGCCTGTGCTATCATGCGCTCCGCCTGTGCTATCATGCGCTCCGCCTGTGCTATCATGCGCTCCGCCTGTGCTATCATGCGCTCCGCCTGTGCTATCATGCGCTCCTCCTGTGCTATCATGCGCTCCGCCTGTGCTATCATGCGCTCCGCCTGTGCTATCATGCGCTCCTCCTGTGCTATCATGCGCTACACAGGGGGGGAGGGACACGGATGTTTTTAGAATTCTCAAATATCATGAGCTGAGGGGCACACGGGATGGATGGAGCAGGCCAGGGAGTGGACACGCGTGGGGAGGGATGGGGCACAGCAGGAGGGGAGAGGAGGTGCAAGAGCCTCACACAAGCGCAGCACTGCTCGACCTTTGAAACATCTCAATCCGCTCAAGCCAATCCGTGCACGTCAGACTAACCCCTGTACTCCCCTCCGACTCCGACGGCAGTCACACTTCCCCCTCCCTCTCTCCTCACACTGTGGCATGGCAACAGTCCCCTTCCCTCCCCCACTCCCCGCTTCTCACTGTCGCGGCAGTCAGGCTCTTCGCCACCTTCCCTCCGCCCTTTCAACTCACAGTGGCGGAGAGGAAGAGAGCCAGCTCCTCGGGGTCCCTGGCGCCACCTGGTCACACTCCCCCCCACCCCCTTCCCTTCCCTTCCCCCTCCCTGGTCTCACGGTGGCGGAGAGGAAGGCCGCCAGCTCCTCCGGGTCCCTGGCGTTCACGCCCTGCGCGTCCCTCAATGACACCTGGCGCACGAGGGGAGGGAAGAAAGACGAGGGCAGAGGAGGATCAAGGAAGGCAATGACAGGCAAGGAAGAGCGGGGAAGGGGAAAGGGGAGAGGAAGAGCGCCAGCTCCTGCGGGTCCCTGGCGTTCACTCCCTGCGCATCCCTCAACGACGCCTGGCGCCATGCTATGGTGCGAGCGGCATGGGTTGGACTCACCTCGGCATATTCGAACGGGCGTGGAGTGGTCAGGGCGATGTTTTGTGTCTCAAACTGGTTTCCCTGGCGGCATGGCGGCATCACGGTCAATGCATAGTTGCATGGTGGCATGGCATGTGTGGGGAAGGAGGAGAGGGGGGGGAGAGGGAAGAGTGGGAGAAAACAAGGAGGGCAGGGAGGAGAGTGGGAATGGTAAGGGTGAGAGGCAGAAGAGGAATAACGCGGGGATGAGGCATGGGGCACATCTCCAGCTCTAACTTGCACGCGAATGGGATGGGATGTGCGCAGGAGGGAAGTCGTGCACAAGGAGGATCAAGCCTGCCACCACACCCAGCTGCTTGCACCTCAACTCACTGCACCCAGATTCACCGCACCCAGATGCAATGCACCTAGATTCACAGATGCTATGCAGCGCACCTGGACGCGCAGGTGCAGCACGTGCTTGGGCTTGGCCTCGCCCTCCGCCAGCTGTGTCACCACCGACGACCCCGGCTGCGATATGAAGTACTTTGCTCGCGCCGGTTGCTGCTCGCATGGACGAATGGGAGTGGGGGGGGGGGGGGGGGTGAATTGAAGGAGAGCGACTTTTGAACGACTCAGAAGGCCCTCTGGCAGATGTGTGCGCACCGACGACCTGGCTGTGCTCTGCCGTACCTCGCCCACACTGGTTGCTGCTCGTGGGGCGGAAGGGAGGGGGGGGGAGAGAGCGTAGAGAGAAGAGGAGGGAAGGGGGAAGTAGAGGAGGTAGATAGGGAGGAGGGAGAGGAGGTAAGGAGGAGGAAGAGGAGGAAAGCAGGAGGGAGAGAGGGGGAGTGGGGGTACATGGATGGAGAGGGAGAGGGGCACAAAGGGAATGGCATGGGATGAGCGATGTGAAGGTGCGTGCTCCTTGTCACCTACGCATATCCTACGCACCACGCTCATCCTGCGCCTATGCGCGTGTATAGCAACGCCGCACAGAAAGAGGACGCAGCGCTCCATGCACCGAGCCACTCCACCCCACGCGCCCACCCTACACCATCCCTCCCCTCCCCTCCACACCATCCCTCCCCTCCCCTCCACAGCATCCCTCCCCTCCCCTCCACAGCATCCCTCCCCTCCCCTCCACAGCATCCCTCCCCTAACCTCCACAGCATCCCTCCCCTCCCCTCCATCCCAACCATCTTTCTCCTGGCCAGCCCCCCGCCCCTCGCCCCTCGCCTGCCATGGAACCCCATGCCCTCCCACGCCCCCCCACGGACCTCCATGACAGGCCGCCCCCATGAGCCACTTCCACTTCACCTCAGGCTCGATGCGGCACTCGTGCTCGTGCCCCCACACCACCAGGTCCAGGAAGGACGCGAAGCCTGACTCGTCCACCGTCACCACCTTCTTCACATTCGTCATGCGCACCGCCCTGGGGGGTGGAGAGACGGAAGGGAAGCCTTTTGAGACGTCTCAAAAACCGGTCATGCGCACCACCCTGGGGGGGGAGAGAGACGGAAGGGAAGGGGAAGGGGAGAAGGGAAGGAGGGGAGAGGGGAAGTTGCTGTCGTCCACCGTCACCACCTTCTTCACATTCGTCATGCGCACTGCCTTGGGGGGATTGGGTGAGGAGGGGTGAGTGAAAGCGTGATGGAGAGGAAGGAAAGATCAGGAGACGTGGCTTGCATGGATGGTGCATGGATGGTGCATGGATGGTGCATGGATGGTGCATGGATGGTGCATGGATGGTGCATGGATGGTGCATGGATGGTGCATGGATGGTGCATGGATGGTGATGGTGCATGGATGGTGCATGGATGGTGCATGGATGGTGCATGGATGGTGCATGGATGGTGCATGGATGGTGCATGGATGGTGCATGGATGGTGCATGGATGGTGCATGGATGGTGCATGGATGGTGCATGGATGGTGCATGGATGGTGCATGGATGGTGCATGGATAAAAATACGCACCAGTTGAGGCCAAGCAATCACAATTGCAATCACACTACCTGCTCTGTGACGATTACCTGCTCTGTTGAAATCACTTGCTCTGTTGAAATCACCTGCTGTGTTGAAATCACTTGCTATGTTGAAATCACCTGCTCTGTCGAAATCACCTGCTCTGTTGAAATCACCTGCTCTGTTGAAATCACCTGTTCTGTTGAAATCACCTGCTCTGTTGAAATCACCTGCTAATCACCTGTTCTGGTGCAAGACAAGAATGTTGAACCAGTCGTCCTCACTCGTGCCCGGCTCGTCCGGTCGGATCCACTGCAGCCCCTGCGGGTTCTGTGGAGAGAGCAGGGGGAGGGGGGTGATGGGGGTGATGGGGGTGATGGGGGTGATGGGGGTGATGGGGGTGACAGGGGGTGATGGGGGTGATGGGGGTGTTGGGGGGAATGGGGGGAATGGAGGGTGATGGGGGGGAGGTGGAGGGGAGAGCCTCGTGCGGTCGGATCCACTGCAGCCCCTGCGGGTTCTGCTCTGCCTCGCCTGCAGTGCGGAGAGAGGAGGGGAAGGGGGGTGATGGTGCTCCCGCCCCTTTCCTCCACGCCCCACACCCCCACGGTCCACACATCCATGAGGCAACCCCACATCCATGAGGCAACCCAACCCCACACCCACGCGGTCCCCGCACGCCCCCTCTTCGTCCCACCAGCCGTGCCCCCCTGCCCTCTGCTTCTCCCCGCCCCTCTCACATCCATGATCATCTTGAGCCGCTCGTCCCGCATGTACCCCAGCCCGTATAGTGCAATGCGGTTGGCACCCTGGGGGGGGGGGAGTGGGGGGAGGTGGGTGGGAAAACGAGGCTCAGTTGCTTGTGAGTCGACTCACGGGTCACCTCGTCCCGCATGTACCCCAGCCCGTACAGCGCTATGCGGTTCGCGCCCTGTGAAGGGGGAAGGGGGGGCAGAGGGGGAAGTGCGGGGGAAAGGCGACTCCTGAGTCAAGTCAACAGCCACCAGTCCCGCATATACCCCAGCCCGTACATTGCTATGCGGTTCGTGCCCTGAGAGGGGGAGGGAAAGGGGGAATCCTATTGGCACGTGGCGGGTGAAGAGTGGGAGGGGATGGGTTTCCCAGCCCGTAACAGCGGCATGCGGTTACCACCCTGGGGAATGGGAGGAGAGGAAGGGGGAGAGGAGAGGAAAAGCAGGGAAAGAATATGTGGCAGGTAAGCGAGAGGGGGCGTGTGGGAGGTGGTGCCACGGGCCTTGGCATGTCACAGCAAGCCCTCCTCTCCTTGCTTCATTGCCCGCCCCACCCACCTTGCTTGCTTGGACCCTCCACCACGCACCTTGTGTGTCTCGCTCTCATCTTGCGCAGCGACACGGGGTGCAGGGTGACCTGAGCGGCATCATGCGCGGGCATGCAAGTCTTGCCAAAGTAGCTAGGTGACTTCTGAGTCGACTCAAAAGTGCCCACGCACCCCGCGCAGCAGCATGCCCCACGCACCTTGCGCAGCAGCACGGGGTGCAGGGTGATCTGCGCGGCGTCATGCTCGGGCATGTTGGACTTGCCAAAGTAGTTCACCAGATTGCATGACGACAGGATGTCCACCGCTGATAGGTTGTCCTGGTGGGGATTCAGGAATGGGGTGCAGGCATGGAGGGAGGCATGGGGGCAGGCATGGAGGGAGGCATGGGGGCAGGCACGGAGGCGTGGTTGACTTGCCAGACTCTGGCTGAGCCAGAGTAGTACACCAGATTGCACAACGATAGAATGTCCACCGCTGACAGGTTGTCCTGCTGGTAATGGTAATGATAATGGTTATGGTAATGGTAATGGTAATGCTAATGCTAATGGTAGTGGTAATGGCAATGGTAGTTGTAATGGTAATGGTAGTGGTAATGATAATGGTAATGGTAATGGTAATGGTAATGGTAGTTGTAATGGTAATGGTAATGGTAATGGTAATGGTAATGGTAGTGGTAATAGTAATGGTAGTTGTAATGGTAATGGTAGTTGTAATGGTTATGGTAATGGTAGTTGTAATGGTAATGGTAGTGGTAGTTGTAATGGTACAATGGTAATGGTAGTTGTAATGGTAATGGTAGTTGTAATTGTAATGGTAATGGTAGTTGTAATGGTAATGGTAATGGTAATGGTAGTTGTAATGGTAATGACAAGGGGCCTAACAAGGCTGCATGAAACAGCCAGTCCCCTGCCTACAGGACCAGCTGCCCTGGCAGCACAGAGGGCATAGAGGAGAACACACGCATGGAGGACCAAGCAACATGACGGCAGGCCAAGGGGTAGGCGGGAGGGAGCGGTGAAGGGGTGGTGCAAGGGGCGGATACAGTGGCAGGGGCAGCAGGACATTGTTTATGTGCCACACCCAGTATCAGCCGGTTAGCAGAGATTCGCACGAGCTTACAAGACTCTGCTCATTGCGCACTCAAACTCCCCCCTTTCCCATCCACATGCCATCCGCGTCATGCGTCCATCCCATGCCATCCGCAGCAAGCACCCCTCCCACCGCCCCTCCCACCGCCCCTCCCACCGTCCCCCTCCCACCGCCCCTCCCACCGCCCCTCCCACCGCCCCTCCCACCGTCCCCCTCCCACCGCCCCTCCCACCGCCCCTCCCACCGCCCCTCCCACCGTCCCCCTCCCACCGCCCATCCCAGCGCTTCTCTCAGCGCTTCTCTCAGCGCTTCTCTCAGCGCTTCTCTCAGCGCTTCTCTCAGCGCTTCTCTCAGCGCTTCTCTCAGCGCTTCTCTCAGCGCTTCTCTCAGCGCTTCTCTCAGCGCTTCTCTCAGCGCTTCTCTCAGCGCTTCTCTCAGCGCTTCTCTCAGCGCCTCTCTCAGCGCTTCTCTCAGCGCTTCTCTCAGCGCTTTTCTCAGCGCTTCTCTCAGCACTTCTCTCAGCGGGTGCGCGTGTGTGCAGGGGATGTGATGTGACTGACGATGCCAGCGGGGTCGTCGTGGTTGCCATGCACGGTGAAGACGGGCATGCCCACGTTGTAGTGCTCGTCCTCGTAGTTCACATGCCCGAACCTGCCATGCACCACACACAGCAAGCATGCACACATGCAGCACGACAGCATGGCAGCACGGCAGTACACGCACGCAGCACGGCAACATGGCAGCACGGCAGTACACGCACGCAGCACGGCAGCATGGCAGCATGGCAGCACATGCACAGGGCCACACAGCATAGTGCAGCATCTGTGAGTCGCGTAGAAAGCCCACTGCAAGAGATAAGAGAGAAGCTGCAGAGCGTGAAAGAAAGAGACTGGGGTTACAACGGGTCGGAATAAAGACAAACGCAGGGAGTTGGCGGCTGGGAAGGGCATGAGGATGCACGAATAGGGGAAGTTGCAAGATTGGTCGCTCACGAGTTGGGGAAGTTGAGGGTTTGGTCGCTGACGACTTGGAAGCGAACAGGGTTGTCGCTGAGGCAGTAGCGGCGCAGAATGTCGATCGTGCGCACCAGCGTGGCGCGCGAGGGCTTGTTGTCGTGAAACAGATCCCCGCCCAGCAGCAGGAAATCCACCTGCGCGCTCCCATGCGTACATGTGAAGACACACGTGCACGTGAGCCTTCACGCAGAAACACGACTAATGAAACGACCCTTGCTGCACAATGGGAGAATACTCGTGCAGCGCCCAACTCACCTGCAGCGACTGGGCGAGCTTGCAGATCTCCTCAAAGGCAGTGAAGGAGTCGTGGCGGCGCACGTCGTCCTTCTCCATGAACCCCAGGTGGTTGTCAGTCGCCACTAGGATGCTGAACGCATCTTCACTGCGAGCATGGGGGAAGGAAGCATGGGTAAGAGCGCACAGGAGTCGTGGCGGCGCACGGGAAGCCCAGACGGTTTTCCGTCTTTTACCACCACGCTTAACGCCTCCTCGATGCGCTCCCGTACCGTCGCCCGAGGGAATTGCTCACTGGGAAGGGTGAAAGGGGGAATGGCACAACGGGGAAGGGCGCACAGGGAAAGTGCGCAACAGGGGAAGGGTGCAGGGCGGGCACGGGAGAAAAATTGACACGGTAAAAGAAATTTCGGTTACTAATCGAGTCTCCCTTCATTCCAAGTCGCCCGCCATTCCACAACTATCCTTCGGCTGGCATTCTTGGAGCATTGCCACAGGTGTGTTCGACAAATGCTTCGAAGGACCAAAACGTTGGCTCGTGTTGTTTCACTTGCCGCGACATTCAGTTACTGCTAATTCCATGAATCGTGACGTCACGGTCGATAGCCTCGTTTCAAAGCAGGCACGGATCCGCGCATCGGCGCGCTGTAGACCTGCGCGTGCGACTCACCCGGGCTGCGTTCCCTGCGACATGATGGCGGCTGATCGTCACTCGAGAAACCCTTGATTGGAACGGAAAAGGGAAAGTCCGGCAGGTGATACGCGAGAGAGCTACGGACGGAATCTCATGAAACAAGGTTGCAGAAGCGATTTTGAGTCGACCAAAGAAGCTTCGGACGGAATCTAATATGACGAGGTTGCAGCAGTGGCGGCGAATGCAGAGCACAGCGATCAACGCTGGGAGCTACTGGGGGGTGGTGGCGATTTCAGAGATGGTGAGACCTTTTCGAGCTCCCGAGGCATAGAAAACGCGGGAAGCGAGGGCGTCGCCCTGGAGTTGTCGTCACCATGAAGTTGCCGCAGCAGATTTGGGCTGTTGGGCCTGGTCCACAGATGTGTGAATTGCTTCGAATAATTGTAAGATCAGTTACTGTAGTGAAATTCATGTACAGCTGTTTAGGCTTAGAGGCTTTTCCTAAAAGAGTCTCATTTCTTCAACAAGTAGATTTTCCACATAAGCCATAGGTGTATCCCCTCCTCTACAGTTCCGTTTTTGGCGGGAAATCTTGCATCAAGTTGTTGTCTTTCATTTCTGTCTTATACATAATTTATTTTGTATTTTCCTGCCCGTTTGTCTTGTGACACTGATCAACGCGGCGAACCGTGCGACGAGAAGTTGAAGACAGCGTAGTCCGAATGTACATATGTGACAGAAAAACACGAATAGTCACGAAGGAAAATCGCTCTTCATGCAATTTTCCTTATATGGGACTATAAGTTCCCTTTTGCCCGGGGTTTGTGAGTTTTCCACAAAGGCCCGCAGCGCGAGTGTTTTTTAAGGAGACTCTAATCAAGAACATTTGTACACAAGTGACGAGACTGACATTATTCGCAGGTCTGACTTTGTCGCAGATCGAGAGAAGCGCCATGTGATTGGACATAGGCCAAATGTCTTACACGGATTCGTCACATTCAGCCGCATGTTCCTGCGGCTCCTAAAACCGCGACCCACCAACACTTAGCATCTCGCACGCAATTGCTGAGGGTTGAGTGAATTTGACGTGTAAAACCACCACCTCGAGATTGCTTGCTTGGCCATCGGATTTGTCCTGGTCGGTCATTCTGCTCAAGCGAGTATACAAAGCCTTTGATTTCGTTGTTGGAATCAGTGAATGCTCTGTCTGACTTACTAGGATCGCCTGTCTACGGACCCGATTTCTGCCAGCCGGCGTCCCGTCATTCGCTCTGCGTGTCGCCATGGCCACCAGCGCCTCCCTTCTCGCGCACCCCCTCGCCGTCTCCCTCCAATCCTCCGCCTTCCCGTCCGCATCCTCACCCTCCTTCGCCGGCAAGCCGCTGCCCGCTCCGTCTCTAATGCGCTCGTCCGCTTCCCCCGATCCCCTCCCCACACGCCCCCTCCGCTGCGAGGCCAGACCCGCGTCCACCGCCGCCGCCGCTGCCTCCGCGGCGACCGCCGCGGAGCGCGCGGCAGCGGTGGCGGCGGGGATGCCGTCAGCGGAGGAGATCATGGCGATCGAGCGCGACGTGGTGGTGCAGACGTACGGGCGCACGCCGCTCGTGGTGGCGGCGGGCGCGGGGAGCCGCCTGTACGACACGGCGGGGCGCGAATACATCGACATGGCGTCGGGCATCGCGGTGAACTCGCTGGGCCACGGCGATGCTGATTGGCTCGCCGCTGTCACGGATCAGGCCGCCACGCTGGCACACGTCAGCAATCTGTACTACACGTGGCCGATGGTGCAGCTGGCGCAGCGGTTGGTGAAGTCGTCGTTCGCAGATCGCGTGTTCTTCGTGAATTCGGGCACGGAGGCGAACGAGGCGGCGATTAAGTTCGCGAGGAAGTACCAGCTGGCGAAGAGCGGCGACGAGCATGCGACGGAGTTCGTCGCATTTGGTAACTGCTTCCACGGTCGCACGATGGGTGCGCTCGCGCTCACCTACAAGCCGCAGTTTCGCGCGCCGTTCGAGCCGCTCATGCCCGGCGTCGCGTTCGCCGATTACGGCGACCTCGAGGCGGCGGCGGCCGCCATCACCGCGGGGCGGACGGCGGCGGTGTTCGTGGAGCCGGTGCAGGGCGAAGGCGGCGTGTTCGCCGCCACCGCGGAGTTCCTGCGCGGCCTGCGCCGACTGTGCGACGAGCGCGGCGCGCTGCTGGTGTTCGACGAGGTGAGGGGGGCGGGGTGAGGTGGCGGTGCGAGAGGGCGACTCAAATGAATGGGGAGGGTGGATGGATGAGGGCGAGGGAACCTGACAAATGCGCAGTGCGGTCATCTCTGCAGCTTCATTGCGCCCGTCGCCGAGCTTTGCGCCCTCCTGTCACTCCCGCTCTGTTCTCTTGCCACCTGCGTGCCCATCTCGCCAACTGCGCGCATTCCTCATCTGCTCCCCTGTCCCTCCGTTTGCTCCTCTCACGCTTCCCCCCTCCTGTTTCCCACCCCCTGATTCCATCCACTCCGACCCTCCCTTGTTCCCTCATCAATCCCCCCTAATTCGCGCCTCATCACCCTCTCCTGTCCACATCGCCCCTCTCCCGCCTCGCCTCCCCGCCAACTCCCCCTTCCCCCTCTCCCCCCATGCGCGCAGATCCAGTGTGGGCTGGGGCGCACGGGGCACGTGTGGGCGCACGAGGCGTATGGCGTCACGCCCGACATCATGACACTCGCCAAGCCCCTCGCAGGTACCTACTGCCATGCATGCATTCCCTGCCTCCTAAACCCCCTGGTTTTGAGGCGCCTTAAAACGAGGCGTATGGCGTCACACACACACAAACCCCTGTGCATCCTCCTTGCCCCCTGAACCTCCCTGCCTCCCTTTGCCTCTCTGCCCCACCCCATTGCCTCTCTGCCCCACTTTATTGCCTCTCTGCCCCACCCCATTGCCTCTCTGCCCCACCCCATTGCCTCTCTGCCCCACCCTCATTGCCTCTCTGCCCCACCCTCATTGCCTCTCTGCCCCACCCTCATTGCCTCTCTGCCCCACCGCATTGCCTCTCTGCCCCACCCTCATTGCCTCTCTGCCCCATCCTCATTGCCTCTCTGCCCCACCCTCATTGCCTCTCTGCCCCCACCGCCTCTCTGCGCTGCTTACTCCTAGTCGTCATGTCTCCTGTTTCTCAACTTCACTCCCCGCCCTTCCATTCTCTCATGCTCCCTTTCTCCTCCCCACTCCCCCCATCTCCCCTCCCATGGCCTGCTCCCAGGTGGGCTGCCCATAGGAGCAGTGCTGGTGACCAATCAGGTGGCGGCAGCCATGGCACCTGGCGACCACGGCAGCACCTTTGCCGGCAACCCACTCGTGTGCCGGGCGGCACTTGCCGTCCTCGATAAGATCGCCGACCCGGCCTTCCTCGCCAGTGTGGAAGCCAAGGGAGAGCTGCTTCGGCAGCTGCTTCGGGATAGGCTCGGGGGGAACCCGCATGTGAAGGAGGTTCGGGGGCGGGGGCTGATGGTGGGGGTGGAGCTGGATGTGGCGGCGGGGCCGCTGGTGGATGCGGCGAGAGGAGAGGGTGTGCTGGTGATCACAGCAGGGAAGGGCAATGTGGTGCGCCTCGTGCCGCCCCTTGTTATTACAGAGGAGGAGATTGAGATGGCAGTTGATGGCCTTGCCAAGAGCCTACCAGCCCTAGGTTGAAAACATGGTGTAATATTTAGGCATTTGCACATTGGCACTAGTCGTAATAAATTTGGAAGTTCATTATTGTATGCACGTGTAGATGATTCGCAACACATGCTTATGACGAGGTTTCGACCACACTTGACCGTTTCCAGCTGTTGTCCTCTGCTTTTCCTTTGTTTGTCCTTATCCCTTGACTGCCCAAGTCATGACCATCAGCCAATCGTGTTCGCTCCTCGACTTTTCATGTTGAACAGTCGAACAGTCGAATTTCGTGGATCAAATTTGCCCGCGTGCGATCCCTTTATCGGAGCAGCGTGGTTACGTTGGGTCCATTCAACAGCAAACTTGAATCTAAAATCGGCCCACACTTTTTCCACCAAGAACCGTCGCGCTTTTCCGCCATTCGCCAGTAACTTTCCACTTGCCGACTGCCACCTGGGCGAGCTTGTCCGGTCCGCCCAGTCGTGGTGGAATCTTGCACGTCGCTGCCGCCAACTGGCGTGACTTCTGGGTCCAGTGCGGACAGGAGAGTCAAGACGAACTAACTGAATCCGTGCAATGCGATTGTGGGAATGGCAGGCAAGAGAGCAAGCATCATTTTTTGCCTATGGGTGAATCATCTCGCTCGTGAAAAGGAGTGAGGAGGTTGCGAAGCAGCTCGCATTTGCTTGTTCATGTAGTAGTTTTGGCCATAGTGCGTTGCGGCGGACGAAGAGGAAAGGCTAAGGGAAGCTCAAACTGCATAGCTACTTAGCTCAAAATATCTCATTTGACCCTCCATCCATCGCGCTCTCACGCGACGTTATCGGCTCCTCTGCCGTCGATCAGTCGCGGGGGTAGACACGTGCCGGTTAATCTGACAGCGAAACAGCGCGACTGCCGAGATCGCGGCCACGTCACAAGCATGTCTCTAGCGGAGCCTTCTTGCGGGGACGTCGGCGCGCAACGGTGAGCGCCGCATTTCAAGCATGAACCACATTCTCCACGCCGCACGACCGCTACTTTGTTGTCTTGCTTTTCCGCGCAATGCGGAAAAATTCTGAGCGATCTGTGTCCCGGCTTCGCAGCGCAGTTTCCTGCGCCATTTCCGGCGATCTGGAACCAGCCTAACAGCTTGACGGTTCTCCCTGCATTCTCCCCTTTCCCCCTCCCAGCCTCCCGCAAATCAGATCCGCGCATTGCGCCCGCCCGAAAGCGCGACACGCGCGCTCGCTGTCGCACCAAATGGTCGCACCGGTGGCTCAAAACGTCGCCGGAGCCGCTGATTCGTTGCAGCCGCGTCCGGACTCAGAAAGCGAGGGTTCAACCCCTTCGCATCATCCGTCGCAGCTGTGGCAGCGGCGCAACTGGCAGCCCGCCGCGTCGCTTCAGCTCGACCCTCGCCGCCAATCCTCGCCGGCTGGAAATGCGGCCTTAGGCGCGGCGCGCCTCGTAAGGAGCGCAAGTGCCGCCGGACCGGCGCTTTCCGCAGATCATGGCGGCGCTCGCTCCGATCGCGGTGCGAGCCTCCATGGAGCAGCCGTACGTCCCGAGGGAAGCGCTCGGGGAAGGCCTGCGGATTGCGGAACTGTCGGCGCGGCGGAAGGGCGCAGCGCAGGCGCGCGGCAAATGTTCGCTCGATCGCACAGCGTCTCGGGTGGCGCGGCGTCGTCGTCAAAGGGAGCCGGTGCGACGGGCGCGGGCGTCGCACACGCAGATGGCGCGTCGCAGGGTCACCACGAGGCCATCTCGCGTCCCGTCCGCGGCGCTTCCGCGTCACCGGGGTGCGTGGCCGCCATCGCCGCCATTCCCGGGGGGAGGCAGCCGGCGGGGGGGAGCAGCGAGTCGGCTGCGCGAGGCAATGGCGGAACGGGCGGGATTGTCGCCGCTGTTAGCAGCGGCGACAGTGGCGGATCCAGCGGAACTGGCGCGCACGCAGGCAGCATCGGGACGAACGCACGCGTGTTTCGGCGGAGCGCGAGCTGCGCGTTCAGTGCGGACGGACACGGCGAGGGGGATGGCGGCGAGCGCACCTTGCGGAGAGGGCAGAGTCACGTAGTTAGGGGCACCAGCAACTGCGACGGCGGTGGCGGCGGACACCGGCCTGGGGTCGTGCGCGCTGACGGCGGAGCATCAGCTGCTTCCGCCGGCGCTAGTCCAATCAGCAATCGGCGCGCTGGCGGCGCCGCGTTCCAGCGCGTGCTCTCCGTTTCGTCCCTCGAGGAGCCTTTCCTTGCCGGCGCCGCCCTCTCTCCCTCGCGCGCGTCACCAACGCGCCCCCTCGGACACGCGCGCCGCCACTCCACTTGCGTCAACTTCCGCGCTCTCAGTCCCACCACCCGCGCGCTTCCGCGGAAGACCGCGGAGGCAGAATCGGCTGGCGCAAGCTCAACCCGGGCGAAAGCGGGAGATGCTCCCCCGACTTCGCCTGTCGCCGTCACTTCCGCGCCGGTTCACGCGGCGGGATTGCCCGCGCCGGCGCCGAGCGCGGAAAACCTTCCCGGCGGTAATGCGTCGGCAACTTTTCCGCGGGGAGCGGCGGCGGGGCGCGCGGTAACTCGGCGGAGCGCGTCGCTGGCGTCGCTGGCGGAATGGCAGCACGCGGGACGAGCGGAGCCCCCCGCCGCGGAGGGCGGCGCGGGCGCGAGACGCGTCGCGTCGCCAAAGCCAGCCTACTCGTTTCCACCCCGATGCGCGTCGCTTCAGTCAAGTGACCCCAATGAGGGACTGGCGGGTGGCATTCACAGCGCGGCTCACAGGAGCAGCAGCAGCCAAGCCTTCGGCGTTGATGGCAACCGTAGCAGCAACGGCTACCATGTAACACTCGGCGGCAGCAGCAGTCACGGCGTGGCGAGCGTCAGTCCGCGACGACGCGCCATGCTGCCCCCTCCCTCTCCCACCCACCAACCGCCGTCGCAGCAGCAGGCGCGGGAGGTGCGGAAGGATGGCATGTGGCGGCCCCCGCCTATATTCACACGGATCAGCGCTGACGACGGCGATGGTGGGGACGGTGATGACGACGACGTGCCTCTAGCAGCCGTTTTCCCGTTTGTGTCACACTCGCCCAGCTCTCCGCATGTACCCCAAGCAGCGGAAACAGCAGCAGAGGCGGCAGCGGATCCAGCCTCGCGCGCCCTGACCCCTTCCCCCCGATCCCCCCTCGCCTGGTCCTCCCCGCGCCTGCACTCCCCCTCTCACCCGCTCCCCCAGTCTTCTAAAGCCCCCAGGCTGCTGCGCCCCTCCGCCTCTCCCCGCGGCCCCCCTCCGCCCTCCTCCGCCCGATCCCGCCCCACGCACGTACCCCGCTGCTCCTCCGTGCCTACCGCAGCCCTGTTGCAGGTTCGGGTGCTTGCCGGACCTCCAGCCTCGGTACGATGCTCGGGATCCCGGTCCAGTGAGTGGCAGCTGCAAGGCTCGGCGCGCGGGAAGAGTCAACTGGAGGGTTGGTCCGAGTCAGATGGGGAGAGCAGCAGAGTGAGGGAGCGGAGTGTGTATGCACGTAGTAGCAGCAGAAGTGGCAGTGGCAGCAGCAGCAGCAGCGGTGACATCGGTGCTACTCTCAGCACGTCCCTGCCCTCGCCTCCCCCAACCCTCTGCCGCCGCCAAACCACTCCCACCAACCGCCCCTCCGATGATGCTGCCTCCTCCCCTTCCACTTCCCCCTCCTCTAATTCCTCCTCCCCCTCTGACGCACTCCCCCTTGCCCTCGCGCCCCCAATGCCCTCGCGCCGAGTGACATTCAACTCAATGGTCCTTGTGCGCCGCTTCTCACCCCTGCCACAGTCCTTCTCCCCCTCCCCCTCCCCCGGCCACCTCTCCTCCGCTCCCCCCTTTACCATCACCACCAGCAGTGATGCCCCCGCCTCCCCCAATGCCCCCGCCTCCCCCGATGCCCCCGCCTCCCCCGATGCCCCTGTTTCCCCGAAATCCCCCCCCTCCCCAAGCGCCCCCGCTTCCTTGAGACCCCCCCTCTCCCCCAGCTGGCCCTTCCCCCCGCCCCCCCCGCGCGCCCTCTGCAGCAGACCTGCCCTCCCCCGCCGCCCGGAGGCACCTGGCCAAGTTTGGGCTGCTGGAGGCACTGTGAGGGCAGATGGGCGAGGTAGAGAGAGACGCTGTGAGGCACATGGGCAGCTCTAGCTGCCTCCCGCTCCCCACCGCGCCCCTCCCCTGCTGCTGCCCCGAACCTGCAACTTGTCGTCACATGGCACATGCATGAGTGGAGTGGAGAAGCACGAATCACCAGCAACTGCATCAGCAGCATGAATCATTATGAGCCATGAATTCATGGTTCAGGAATGGTATCTAATCCGAGTGTGTTGCCAGCAGCAAGATTTAGGGGTGAAGCAACTGTTTTGCTTCCAGCTCTGCTGTAGCTCGCAGGGGCTGCTGGAAGTTCCTCCCTCACATTGCTCCACCTCTCATAGTGATGCCAGTCATTGTACTTGCCCATATGCTGTAGTGTTGATTCACGTGTTACACGGCAAAAGTAATATCTTCAGCTGGACTGTAACATTGCAGTGTGAAATAAAATGAACTCACATCACACTGTCGATGATTTTCCCAAATCTTTCTTCCCCCTAGGGGGCTCTGCACTGCACTGCTGTGTGGATGGATGGAAAGCTGCAGGGAGTTGGCTGGTCACAGTACTAACATGCACAAACCTGTGGTTTGTAGTGTCTATTGAAGGCCCTATGGTCAACTATTCCAAGTGCACATCCATGTAATCCGTGTGCAATGGTGCACAGCACAAGCACTGACATCAACCCTGTGGTTAGTCTCTGGTCGGCCCTGAGATAACCCGTCATTAGCACTGCAAATAGCCCTGCGGTGAGCCCTGTGGTAACCCCTGTGATTAGCACTGTAAATAGCCCTGAGGTAACCCCTGTGATTAGCACTGTAAATATTATAATTTTTAAACACATTGATGTTTTTCAAAATTGTGTATTGTGAAAGCGAAGCTGACTGTACCGAATATTTGGCAGCGTCGAAGCGCGCTAAACGCCCTTCTCCAACTACAAAAACCGTGGGTTGGAGTTCATTCCCTCCACCCACGTTTCTCGTTTTCCAACGGCTCAATCAACATTTCCGTTCGAGTACCGTAGTTCTTTTCCCCGTCCAAGCTGGCTAGAACTCGCACCCTTCCCAGAGGCGAGTCACCCTCAACACTTCTGCAAGACATTTTCAACCACAATCGATCTACAATGGCGTCTACGCCGGCACTTAACCGCGTCAATTCGTCTGCGCCGGTTTCCGACTCCGACCGTAACGCCCGAGAAATGACGGGCGATCGCCGTAACAAGCGGCGGGCAGAGGAAGGATCGCCCGCCCCAACTGCCGTGGACGTGCTGTTGGGCGGGCTCGAGGTCAACAAAAACTCGAGCCCGCCCCAGCAGCAGCACCCCTCGGCCCCTGTGGCGCCTGTGGCGCCTGAGGCGCGTGTGGCGCAAGTGGCGACGGCGGCACCTGCAGCACCTGGGGTGCCACACGCGCCTGACGCGGAGCACACGCCGGCGCCTGTGGCTGGACCGTCGCGTCAGCGCCAGAGGCGCCGAACATCGACTTCTTCTGACGCGACGACCCCGGCGTTGACCAACGCGTTGACTCCGGACCAGGTCGCTGCGCTTCTGTCCCTGTTACAGCAACAACCCGCCAGCGTTACAGCTACGGAAATTGCACAACCCGCGGCGTCTGCATCTGCTAACAAGGAAAACGCAAAAAAAGAAAAAGGAGCGCGAGGAACAACGGCGAACCGGCACAACAAGGAAGCACCAGCCAGCATCCCACCTGCGCCAGCGGCCGACAACGACACCGACGGCTCCGACGACGATGATGGTGAGGCTCCGGTCCATACCGCAAATTTTCATTCCATGGAGCATCTTCCCCCCCTCCCCTCTACTACTAACACCACTTGGTCGGCGGCGACGTTCAACGACGAGCACGTGCGGGCGAAAGCGGAGATTCTGGAGGACATGCGGGCCTACCTGAAACACGCAGAGCACAAGCTGCAGCACGGCGACTCGGCGGGCGGACTCGAAATGGTCGTCGCCGCCCTCGACGACATTTCCGCGCGCTTCGACATGTTTCAAGTCGAAGACGCATCCGACGACCGCGTTGCCAAGCGCTACAAGATGTACCTGGAGAAAAGCCTTCTCACCTCGCGGCCGTTCAAGCAAGCCGTCGCGGACGTGGCTGCCATGGACCGAGCGGCGGGCGCTCACGCTCGCTCCCACCGTGGTGGAAACCACGGCGCCAAGGCGTTCGCCCCAAAACGTGGCCCTCCAACCTCGGGCAACTTCCAAGGCTTTCGTGGTTCGTGTTTCCGCTGCGGACAGCCAGGCCACGTCGCCAATGCCTGCCCTCGGAATGGGCATGGGGGCCAAGGACCCGCACCGGTTGTGTAAGGTTCGGGCTATGGTGAAGCGCGCCTCTAGGCGCGATGCACGGTGCACTTTTGAGTGCTTAGACCGTGGGCAGCCTAGTAGGGCTTGCGGTGGCCATGGCCAGCCCTAGGATAGGGTGGTAGAAGTTGGCCATAGGCCTAGCTTTGGGGAAGAGGAAGAATGCCTCTCGGTCCCCTAGGATAGGGTAATAAAGTATGGCCGTAGGTCTAGCTTTGGGGAAGAGGAAGAATGCCTCTCGGTCCCCCGTATGCCCCAATTGATGGGATGAGAAACATGCTAGTAGGCATGACAATGTATGACCATGAGAGATAGGGATTTTATTAAAGGCCCCTCTTGTTTGTCACGGATTAAAAAAAAAAAAAAAAAAAAAAAAAAAAGGAGGAGAAGGGGAGAGGGAGAAAAAGAGAGTACGTACGCTCCTCACTCAAACCGCCGCCATGCATGGCAAGGATGAGCAGCCCTGGTTCAACCGTTGGAAGCCCAAAAAGGGTGAGAAGGAGCAAGGGGGGGGGAGTAGGGCATAGCGATGTCGCCTAGCCCAAGTAAAGGCACGCGCGAAAAGACACGAGCTCATGACAAGCGAAGCATGCAAATGCTCAAACAACAATGGAAACACATCCAAAAAGAGAGGGAGAGAGAAAGAGCGAGAGAGAGAGAGAGAGAGAGAGAGAGAGAGAGAGAGAGAGAGAGAGAGAGAGAGAGAGAGAGAGAGAGAGAGAGAGAGAGAGCACACGAGGGAAGCATGATCATGGTCCCAAGCATCAATCCTCCAGAAAAAAAAAAAAAAAAAAAAAACGAGGGGAGGGAAAAGGAGAGAGTATGAGAAAGAGTTTGCCAAGGTGCGATCGGACGCCCTATATGGAATGACGACAAACCGTCCGTATGGTCCTCACTGTTGACGGTTCATTTTTCGCGCATGCATGTATATGTCACACGCATGAACTAATTAAGGCGTGCAACCTGATTGTTCGCGTTCATTTCCTTGCCGTACATACAGGAGCACAACAATACGAGGTGCCTCGCGACGATGGCCCGTACGAATTCGCCGTCACGGACAAAACCGTCACACGGATGTGCGGTCGGCTTCGCTCGACCTTTGCGTGGTGGAGCTCATGGTGCCCTTGCAGCCTCGTCCTATCCATCATCGCCAACGGTTACTGGCTTCCATGGAGCCACGGCCCACCACAGGCCTTTCGGGAGCGTAACCACGCTGGTGCATACGCGCATGCGTCGTTCACACGTACTGCCATCCAAGAACTCACAGAGACCGGAGCTGCAGTCGAGACAGCCGCAAGCGAGCTTACGTGCATAAGCCCACTTAACGTGGTCGAGCAGAAAGAAAAATGCAGGCTCATCCTCGACCTGAGAAAAGTCAACACGAACCTCATCGTCCCAAAATTCAAGTACGAAGGACTCAGCCGTGTGGCAGACGTGGCACGCGCTGGGGATTGGATGTTTTCTATTGATCTCAAATCCGGGTACCATCACATCGATATCCATCCTTCATGCTGGAAGTTTCTCGGTTTTGGATTCGATGGGCGCACTTACTCCTTTCGTTCATTGCCGTTCGGTCTTGCGACAGCCCCATTCATCTTCACGCAACTCATCAAGCAGCTAGCCCGTCGCTGGCGGGAGCAAGGCATCCGAGTAGTACCATACGTGGACGACATCTTATTCCTTTGCCAGTCAAAAGCTCACGCGCAGGCTACTTGCCACCGTGTAATACTGGACCTTAAAGCAGCAGGTTTGGTGATAAATGCGAAGAAATCACAGCTGTCACCATCGCAACACCTTCGATTCTTGGGTGTGGAGCTAGACACGGCCACAGGCCGATTTACCATCGGTCCCGAACGACGAGCCTCACTACATGCAACCATTCGGAACCTGTTGAGCGCAAGCAAGGCATGTCGACCCGTCTCAGTCCGCCAAGTGGCCAGAATCACAGGCATGCTCGCGTCAATGGGCGTCGCGCTGGGCGCAACAGCTCGTGCTTTCAGCCACGCCATGCTACAAGTGATCAATGACGCACCTTCATGGAAAAGCAGCGTGATCATCCCCCCAAACGCGGCTGAGGAGCTAAACTTCTGGCTCGAAGAGTTTGACAGGTTCAACGGTGCACCGTTTCACGTTCGAAACAGCTACGACGCTGTCATCCATGTGGATGCTAGCGCTCACAGTTGGGGCGCCACTTTGACCACATTTCCTGGCGGCCTCGAAGAAGCTAGCGCAACAATGCCAGAGCCGCTGCGAGCGACGTCCAGCACACGGAGGGAGATCGAAGGTGTGCTTTGGGCACTCCAAACATACTCCAGCAAGATCACGCACAAACATGTTCTTGTGCGGGTGGACAATCAGGGCGTCTTCTTCATCCTTCGCAAAGGTGGCTCGCGCAGCCCCGACCTTACCACGGCCTGCCAAGACATCATTCGACTATGCATGGAGCACGGCACGCGTCTAATCATCGAATGGATCCCACGGGAGCTAAACTCACACGCCGATGAGCTCTCAAAAGCAGTCGATCATGACGACTACTCGTTGAAGACGCCGTGGTTCCGCATCTTAGAACGGCGTTGGGGTCCCCATTCCATCGACCTCTTTGCAAACTCCCGCAACTCCCAGCTGCCACGCTTCTGCACTAAAATTCCTCATCCACAAGCCACCGCAGTCGATGCATTCTCGCTCGCATGGACATCAGAAAATAGCTTTGCGTTCCCCCCGCCCCATTTAGTTCCGGCC